CCCCCCACCCCTCCACTGGCACCGCCTCGACCCTGCGGCGCCTTTTGCGGCGGCCTTGGCGCCTCTGCCCCCGCGTTTTCTGCACCGACCTCTGGCGGGAGTGGAGGGAAATGCTACTCACCAGGGGAGGCAGGGGCTGCAGAGACCAGGGGCAGGATGAACGAGGCGTCAAACCAAGTCTGTCGGTTTGGAAGGAGAGCGTAGTCCGTAGAAACCCCAAGGGGGAAGTCCGCTCGCCACGTCCCGTCGCACCCACCCACCAGGAGACTGCGGCGCCGCCGCGGCTCCCACCTGCCAGAGCGGAGCCGGGGGCTGGGGGGGCGTGGCCTGAGGAGTAGGTGAAAGGGCGCAGGGCGTGGCCTGAGGAGTAGGTGAAAGGGCGCAGGAGTAGGTGAAAGGCTCGCGAGAGCTGGCGAAGGGCGGGGGTGTGGCCTGGGAGTGGGTGAACGGGCAGGGGGCGGGCCCACGCGGGGCTCCGCCCGCCCCCGAAAAGCTGGGGCGAGGCGGGCGACGTCTCGGCGCTCCAGGACCCGCCGCCCTAGCCTCCGGGTTTTGCAGCCTCTATGGCCCTCCTCCGAGGTGAGCGCGGCCCCCTCCTCGCCCGCCCTGGCCAGGCCCGCGCTCCGGGCCGCCCGGTGGGGAGTCGGGGTCGGAGTGAAGCCCTCCGGGGTCTGGAGGGGCCTGGGTAAGCCTGGCCCTGAAGGACACTCCGGGTTTAGGAGAAGCCCTGGTTAGGCCGAAGGACGGCGACTGCGGCGCAACCTCCCGTCGTGGTAGTTGTGGCCAGGGCTTGCGGCCGATCTTGGAGGGGCCCCTCTTCCCATAAGTGACGCCTGGACCTTGGAGGGCCTCTCTTCTTCCTTCTCCTGGACCTAGAGTTCCTCTCTTCCCATAGTGACCCCCGGCCCTTGGAGGGCCTCCCTTCTCCTAGACCTGCAGAGTCCCCCTCTTTTCATAGTGATCCCCAGACCTTGGAAAGCCTCGCTTCTTCTAGACCTGGAGTGACCCCCGGACCTTGGAGGGCCCCCTTCTTCCCACAGTGACCTCTTGCTCGGCCCAGCCAATGGGAGGGGGGCGGCGGAATGGGGACATGACCTCCTTCCTCCCTTCTAGCCCTTCCGTTGGAGTGACTGCAAGAAAGTGCAGCCACGCAGCACCCACGTTTAGGGCTGCTAACTTGTTTTTTAAAACCGTGCCAACTCCCTTTTCTTAGCACGTGGTCGGAGTCCCTGGAATCTTAGTTAAGGGTTGACGTAGAGCGCGGCAGGCCCTGAGACTGGCAAAGCCTGGCGGGATCTAAGAACCAGGCACGGTGGGGCTCCAGGCAGGGCTCTGCCGGGGCCTAGGCGGGGGAGGCAGGCTCTGGTTTCCGGCCTGGATTCGAGCTGTCCCTGCAACACTGAGGAGCCTGAAGGGTGGGGGTAGAGGCCCAGGCACAGCAGTGGAGGGGCCATGGGGGTGACTCAGATGGATTTGGAGGTGGCTTTGATAGACCGTGATGGGTAACTAAGGAGGAAAGGTCAAGCTTGACTGCAGGCTTTTCTGCCTTGAAGGACTGTGTTCGCGGTGATACCTCTTAGGGATGAGGAAAAAAACGGTAGGAGGAGATTTGGAAAGGAAGGTAGAGAATTGCGTTGCAGGCCAGGAACGCTTTGCTGCCTGTTATGGAGCACCAGGTGGAGAGGCCAGCTCGGCTCTGTTCTGAGAGTCACAGCCAGAATGGCATGTGACAAGTGAAAAGTGGGTTTTTGGGGGGGTTTGGTTTTGTTTTGTTTTGTTTTGAGTTGGAGTCTCACTCTGTCGCCCAGATTGGAGTGCAGTGGCCGCTCCCGGCCACCGCAGCCTCGACCTGCTGGGCTTCAGCGATCCTTCCACCTCAGCCTTCCGAGCGGCCGGAATTACAGGCGCGCACTACCACGCCCGGCTAATTTTTTGATTTATTGTAGAGATGAGGTCTCGCCAGTCCAGGCGGGTCTCGAACCCATGGGTCAGGCAATCCGCTCACCTCAGCCTCCCAAAGGCGCAGGATTACAGGCTGAGCCACCGAGCCCGGCAGTAGGTATTTTGGAACAAAATGCAGTGTATGCCATTTCCTACGATGCGAATTTCATTTGCCAGTACCATCCCAGCTTTGAATTTAACTACATTTATTTAATAAAGCTGCATGTTGAATTTTCAGAAAACCCACTTCACTTAGAAATCGCTTTGTAATGCTTTTACAAAAGGAAGTACTATTTCTTTTGATTTCATGTTAATATTTTATCAGTGGTTTTTACCCTTTTCTTGTAATGCAGATCTCTTTAAAAGTTTGCTGAAAACTATGAACCCAATAAGGAAATATCAGCACCTTTATTAAGGAAGTAGAAAGCTTATAAAATGTGATACAGTTCAGCTACATTTCTTATTTCCATTTCCCAATCTTACAGATAAGGACACTGATGAGGTAAAGTGACTTGTCTGGAATAACAGGTAGTTAGGGGCTGTGACTAGAACCCAAACCCTGAGCTGCAAACAGTGCTGTCCTAAGCTAGTTAGAATCCAGGATGTACACTTCTCTCAAGTAGCTACAGGCCCGGTGGTGAGAAAGGAGAGTGTGCCTGATTACTGTAGGGGAAAGCCGCACCTGAATTAATTTGGGAAAGACTGGCATTTATCAGATTTCTGTCCACAGGAGCCATCCCCCATGTTTTAACTGGCTCTCGTCCCCTGGCTTGGCAGAGGTTTTCACCCAGCAGGTGTCAGTCCTGCTGCTGCTGTTAGCTTTTTGGGAACGTGCTGTAACCCTTCAGAGCAGGTAGGCAGGGCTGCCTGTTACCTGAGCCCTGAGGAAGGAGTGGATGCCACACAGTTTTCCTTAGTTTGCCTTGACTGCTGTCTGTGGTTGTTCTGACTGTGAGTAAATACTTACCGAGCGGCGTGATAGCAAGGTGGGCAGAGTGCCCAACTCTCTTCTGGTGTTTCCTGCACTGTCCCTTCAGCACAGCTTGCCGGCTTCTCTCCAAGCTCCGACTCACTACGCTTTGGATGACGACGTCTCTTTACTGTCCTCCAGTTTTTGGAAAGCGTCTGCCTCTGAATTTTCAGTCTTTTAAAAATAGACAAGATTTTAGTTTGGTGTTGAAGATTGTTATTAAATTAACATATCCAGTTTATGAAATTATAAGAAAAATCCTTTAAATTGCATAGTCTTTATGTCTGCACATCCCAGATTACTTGTGTAAAATAAATGTAACAGCATTTTCCCCACTCAAAGTAATTGTGTTAGTTCAGTGAAGGCCTTACTCCAGCTAGCCTCTGTAGTCTGGGAGCATCAGGTGAGGAGAAGGGACACAGACAAGGGGGAAGTTCTTGTGCTTTTATGTTCACACACACTCTTTCTGTTGTAGATATAGTATGTTTCACTCCTAGCATTGCCCCCTCACAAATGCTTTCTTAGATTACAAAATATGGGGAAGAAACAAATGTCGAGCCTCCTTTGTTTCTAAATTGGAGTCGATGGTCACTGGAGTCATTTCTGTGTATGCCATATGTCCTTTTCCAAGGATGCTTTTAAGATTTGTGTTTTCTTTGGATTTCAGAAGTTTGACACTGATGTGCCAAGTTGGGGGGACTGTGGTGTGTTTATTAGAGCTGGAGTGTGTTCAGCTTAAATCTGTACGTGTATGTCTTTTATGAAATTTGAACTACTTGATTTTTTCCTTAAATAACTTTTCTATTCATTCTCTTTCCTCTCTGTGATGCCATAATTCTTGTTTGTCCTTGAAGTTCACATGTTTTTTTTTCCTGTCTTTTGTAAGTTAATAAACTTGTTTTGGAGCAGTTTTATTTTTAGATTTACGGAAAAATTTTGCAGAAAGTACAGAGCATTATCATATGTCCCCTCGCCCCACGCATTTCCCCTTTATTAATATCGTGTATTAGTGTGATATAGTTACAACTGATGAACTAATATAGATACATCATTATTGATTGAAGTTCATAGTTTGCATTTGTACAGTTCTCTGAGTTTTGACAAATATGTAAATGGCAGATATAATCTTTGTAGTATCAGGCAGACTAATTTCACTGCCCTGAACATACTCAGCGTTCCACTTATTCATCCCTGCCTCTGAATCCTTGGCAAGCACAGGCACTAATCTTTTTACTGTCTCCTTAGCTTTGCTTTTTCCAGATATCATTTAGGTGGAATCATATGGTATGTGGCCTTTCCAGACCAGCTTCTTTCACTTAGCAATGCATTTAAAATTCCTTCTTTTTATGGCTAATGGTTCCTTTCTCTTTGTTGCTGAGTAGTATTCCATTGTATGGATGTACCAGAGTTTTTTTATCCATTCACCTATTGAAGGACATCTTGGTTGCTTCCAAGTTTTGGCATTTATGAATAGACACTCATGTGCAGGTTTTTGAGTGATACAAGTTTTCAGATCATTTGAACATAAACAAAGAAATGTGATTGCTGGATTATATGGTAAGAGTATGTTTCGTTTTGTAAGAAACTACCCACTTTAGAAGGCCGAGGTGAAGGATTGCCAGAGCCCACTGGTTCAAGACCAGCCTGGGCAACTTGGCGAAGCCTCGTCTCTGCAGTAAATAAAAAAATTAGCCGGGCATGGTGGTACGCGCCTATAGTTCCAGCTACTTGGAAGGCTGAGGTGAAAGGATCGATTGCCTGAGCCCACTAGGTCAAAGCTGGGTGACCGTGAATGTGCCACTGCACTCCAACCTGAGCAAGAGTGAGGCTCTGACTCAAAAAAGAAAAGAAACTGCCCCACTGCTTTCCAAGCTGGCCTTACTATTTAGCATTCCCACCAGGAGTGGATGAATTTCTGTTGTTCCACCTCCTCACCTGCATTTGGTGAGTCAGTGATTTGCATTTTAGCCATTCTAATAAGTGGGTGGTGGCATCTGCTTGTTTTAATTTGCAGTTCCCTGATGGCATATGGTGTTGAGCATCTTTTCATATGCTTATTTGCCATCTGTGTATCTTTGGTGAGATATCTGTTCAGATCTTTTGCCCTTTTTTTATTTTTTGAGTTGGAATCTCATTCTTGCCCAGACTGCAGTGCAGTGGCACACTCACGACCACCCAGCTTTGACCTGGTGGGCTCCAGCAACCACTCCACCTCAACCTTCCAAGTCACCAGAACTACAGGTGTATGCTACCATGCCTGGCTAATTTTTTGATTTATTGTAGAGATGAGGTCTTGCCAATTTGCCCGAGCTGGTTTTGAACCTGCGTGCTCAGGCAATCCACTCGCCTGGGCCTCCCAAAGTGTTGGGATTACAGGCTGAGCCACCAAACCCGGCCACCCATTTTTAAATTGGTGAACTTAAGAGCTCTCTGTATATTTTGGATACCAATCCTTTGTCAATTCAGTGTTTTAGAAATGTTTTTTCACAGTTTGTGGCTTGTCTTTTCATTCTCTTAACGGTGTCGTTTGTGTCTATGCTTAGATTCTTTTTTTAATATGTATATATATATGGATGTCCAGTTCCAGCACCATTTGTTGAAAAGACTAACCTTTCTCCAATGGATTGCCTTTGCTCATTGGTCAGACCTTGAGTTTCTGCCCGTGATT